TTGAGAAACCTGTGCCTTTAATCTGTGATTAAAGTGAAGTGAAGATGTATCCCAAGTCACTTCTCAGACCCAGTTTAAGTCTGTCAGGGTTTATTAGGACAAATGCAACTTTATATGAAGAGTATTGTGTGGTTTTGTTGCCTGACCCTGAGCCAAAAAGCCAGCAAGGAGCCAGCTTGGCTGTTTTTTAGCCTGCTTTACTCCATCCACCACAAAAGTTTGGCTGTAACCTGTCACACAGGAGGTAATTTAGAAAGAAGAGATTATGGTGTACTCCCACGAGTGCATGTAGCACTTAACATGCAAGTTAGAGACAAGAAACTTGCAGGCTATATCAAAAGACAGAAAAACAACAAAAAAATACCAAAGGGAAGAGAACAGTGAAAAACCATGTTGTACTTTCATTGTGTATGCTTTCTGCCATTTTCTACACTTAGAATTTTTGGAAGGATGCTTATGCAAGCTTCTAGCAAATCAAACTCAAGGAAAAGACTAGCATAACAAAAAATAAAATAACCTTTGCTTTTAAAATGTAAAATTGAGTTTAAACACAATTGCAGGCTTTTCTCAGTGCATTTTTTTCTTGGTCATGAAGTGATAACCATCCCGGCCTCCTGCTCTTCATCTAACCATCCTTAAAGGACTTCAACCTGAATTGGTAGTTGATCAATCTGTACGTGTGCTTCACTAACACTTGCAGTGTACTCTAGAAACCGCAGATTCTGAGATGTTTTTGAACCACTGACAGAAACCTTCAGTGTTCTTACTCCCTCCTTCCTTACCAAAAACAAGTCTTAAGCTTACATTCCAATCTTTATTTTTCTCATCTGTTATGACACAGCATTTCCGCTCCCCCACCCCCCAATCAATTTTAAGAAAACCGAGCTCTAATGTGTTGGCAGCTTTGAATGACAAATTGCTTCCAGGCAATCTAGGAACACACCTTGACCTGAGAGACAAGGAACCTGTGCTTCACTCCCACCCCAAATCATTAGAAAACAGGACATACTCACTTCACATTCCCTCAAAGCACTTGGGAGAAGCTCTTTGCCTAGCAAAGAAAGGATTCAGTCTTTCTTCTGACAGTGTTTTAGAGGAAGATGAATTAACTTATCTCAAATTTGCTACTAACACTACCCTCCTCACACTTGAGATTTATATTGTTCTGTATTACAAAAACCTGAAACCTTTCAATTTTCTTAACCTACTAAATAAGAATTAAAAAAAAAGAAATTAAGCCTACCATAAAATATTTTTGGAGATCAGGTATTTTTGTCAGTAAAAAACAACAGCAGCTCCTGGCTCTGTGCTCCCTATGCATCACTTCAAAGTGACCTGAATACCACCAGCAGTATCCACTTCTAGTTTGGGAACAACCATTCTCGTCACTCCTTGTTTTTTCCTTACCCGGTGCTGTTAATATAGGGCATTGGTCACATTAAACTCAATAAACATTCAACAGTAGGCACTTGATTGATATATAGACTTGAACAAAGACCTGAGTGAAATGAGTTAACTGCAGATATGTGCTCTTTATGATTTTATGTTCTAGAGATGCAGTTAAAAGGCAGAGACAGTTCAAACTCTGAGAGTAAACACGGCATTTTAAAGACTTATTCTGCCTTTCTGAAATTTCCATTTAAGATTTACTTTAAAATAAATTAGCTATTAGTTTATATTGTCTAAGGTAAAAAAATCTAACATGAGCAGTTTGTGGGAAGCCATATTTTCTTCTGCCAATTTGCAAAGATTTATTCTTTAAAATACAGAATATACTCACCCACCTAGGTATTATGGTAGTTCCATGTTGCAAGTGTATTGTAAATGATTGCTTTCATCGTATCATAGAATCACTTGGTTAGAAAATACTTAGTTCTAAGATCATCAAGTCCAGCTGTTAACCCTATTCTACCAGGTCAACCTCTAAATTCAAGCACCACATCTACACGACTTTTAAAGACATCCAGGGATAGGGACTCAACCACCTCCCTGGCAGCATGTTCCAGTGCCTGACAATCCTTTCAGTGAAAAAATTCTTCCTAATGTTCAGTCTAACGAAACTTCCAAGTGTTTGATTGTAATACAATAATACATAAATGCCTATTAAGTCTAATTAAGTGGATAAATTCAATTTTCAGCTCTACAGGACAGATTTCAATTTGGCTTCCAGTCTGTTTGTACACACAACAGGGATATGTGTGTTGATTAAGAAAATCTGGACTTTAATAGGACAGCTATTGCATGTATGTCTACAGTGGATTAAGCATATCTTGATATATTCCTTTGTATGGCAGGTGAATTTTAGGTGTACAGTGTTGACTGGAGTGTTGCAGGCTGTTAATCTGTGTTTTGCAAGCCCTCCTTTGTCTCCAGGCTGAAGTGTTACTGTATTTTCACTACTTATTAAAAATAGCTAATAATATTGTCGAATTAGTGGGGTTAACTTACTTTAAAAAGAAAATTAGGTCAGTTGCTATATTTATGCCTAGCCTTTGACTCTTGTGTATTTTTACAGCTCTTTTGCATTTTACAAAATGGGCATCTTCCTGTCGAAAATATGTATTTGTGTGCAGCAGTTGCTTCATCCCACACCTGAACACAATACCGAAACAAGCATGGCAGGGTGAAGGCCCCAACACTGGTTGTTAGTCCCTGCTGATACAAACCTCTTGGCCAGAGAAGAAATATGACTTACTGCAGACTGTTAAGAGGTGCTCCATTAGCAGGTTGTTTGCAAAAGTGAAGGCAAATTTGGCTGTTAGATACTTCCAGTATTTGGAACGCACCTAAAAATCTGACTCCAAAGCAGTTTTTGAGGTCATTTTCACCAAAGCACCTAGGAACACCCCTTCCAGACCTACCTTACCTGAAATAGAGACTGAGATGAAACAACCACTGATGGAGGAATGCAGTTGGCCAATGGAGTGACAAGTGCCCTACCTATGGCAATAAGCCATTGCTACTGTGACATCTGAAACATCTGAGCATACTGGGAGAAAGAAGCTATTCTTCATGCTCTGTGCAACTGCCACTCTCACGCTAGATGCAAAATGCAAGGCCCAGTTGCTTCTCTGCTACCCTACAATCAGGAATGCAAGTGCTCGCAAGATAAAAGGCTTGTCAGACCACATCTCACTCATGTCCATCCCCAGTTCTTTGAGTCCTCTGCTCTTGGCACCTTATTTTTTTCACTACAGTTACTAAGTAAAGCATAAGTTCAGAAATTACAGCTGTTCGCTTAGCCAGTAGTCTATTGTGCATCCCCAACCAGAGCTTGGTCCTGCCTCTAACAACTCACAGTTCCCTGTGAGCGCTCCAGGACAAAGCTCATGAGTCTGTTGCTTTTAGGAGAAACTTCTATTCTGCCTCTGATCTCCCCATGCCAAGAAATCCTCGTTATTGCCCTCCCAGTAACAGGATTGACCTTTACATAATACAAAAAGAGAAAAGACGAGAGAATTACTTCTCTGATGTTCCTTTGACAATTCTTCCTCTCCAGACCAGTTCACAGTCACTCTCTCACTTCCACACAGGCAGGAAAATCAAGGTGTAAGGAAAACATACTGCAGTTACCTGTAATTCAGACAGCTAGCTATCTGCATCTAGGAAAAATAACTGGAAGTTAACAGTATGATTTCTCTCTTTCCTGTCAGCTTCAACCTGATCTACAACTCACAAAAAGATTGCAATTTCTAGGTATTAATTGCACTTCAGAAAAGAAGAAAAAGGAAAGAAAGTAGGACAGATCCAGACTGGACAGAGCATTCCTTTCTCTAACATAATCAGCTGCCACAATTCAACCCCTAGCATTCCTTGGTACCCATTTCTCCTTCCCATGCTTACCCATATGCACAGATATTGCTGAGAAAGGCTGAATCACCAGAAGTCTGAGATTATTCAAGGAACATCAGGCCTGTTGCAGAACCACTCTCACAGAATACCATACAAGAAAAGCCTCAGGAATCCTCCTAAGCACCCTCATGATTCCTTACTATGGTACTTTTTAGCAGATGACAGAGATAAAACATTTTCTGGGCTGGGTTTTAAAGTGTCCAGAGAAGGTGGAGTTTGAACAAAGCAGCATACAGCACATACAGACTCTCCCATCCCCTCAGGCTAGCTTAAAAGCAAGTGTCTCGGTTACATTAAGCAGCGTCCTTTACAGTCTCCCTTCTTCACCTTCTTTAGGCAATGCATGGAATACACAGGCAAATGAACATTGCCAGGTCTGTCTCTGTGTCTGCCACTGAGCTGGGACCGACAATTTCCAGATGGAGACTGTTTCTGCTTTCCAGGATCATCTCCATACAGGAACCAACTAAAAGTTCCTTAGCTGTAAAGCAGATGTGGATTTTGAAGCGTCATGTTGTTGCCTCAAAATTCCCCAAAAGAAATGTGTAAAGAAGAAATCAGTGATAGTATCAGTACGCAACATGCAGATCAAAATAGCATTTCTCACTTCTCCAGCGTGTCACATGTCAGCAGTAATTTTTTGTCTCTTAACACCACAAAGCACAACTAAGAAGCAGAAGCAAGTTCCAAAGACAATTGCAACCCAAATCAGTTCACACAGGTAAATTAAATTACAAGGGAAACCAACTGCAGCATGGAGAACCTAAGGATAACAACATGTTTGCAACATCTTTACTTTTTTTTCTGGATCTTTACAGGTCAAGCAGAGTCACATCTTCATTGCATAATAAGCACTCAGTTTGCCATGTTAAATGTGATTCCTTCCCAAGAGTCAATGGCTTCAAGAACCAGAAATAATCTTGCACCTGAATTAAATAAATACCACCACAACAGCTTCTCATTTTGTAGCCACATACTATATCCCTGGCATTTTCCTCACCAATCAGAACATATTGCAGACACTGTAAGCAACAAGCTTGGAAAAAGGTACCCACCCCACCACTCTCTGCACGGGTAGGTGGGCAGAAGGTTCAGCTCTTCCCCCACACAAGCAAGGAATGACATTTTGCCAAGTCCGTGTTCTTTACCTTGTAGCAAACATTGCTCTGAGGGAAGAGAAGGTAGCAGCATCTTCTTTCAGAGCCTTCAGCTCATTTCGCAGTTTCATCATTGTCTCTGTAACCATAGCTTTCTCGTTCTCATACTTGCTTTTTAAGTTGGCAAGGGCTACCTCTGCAGTCTATTGTTTACCAAGAAGAACAGAAACATACTAGTTAGTTAAATTCTTCACAAAGCAGTTGGCTAAGAGATTTCTAATCACTATTCACATAATGAAACCTTTAGTTTGTACCGGAATGTTAAACTTCTGGTTTTTCTTGTTCAAAATTTCATTTTTGAACACTGGAAACAGATCAGACTTACAGATCTCCTACTTACACTGACCATGCAACAGCGCTTAGGAACTTACAGAACATACATTTAGTGACATCTATCTCCAACTACTAAAAGAAATTAAATTTCACATATTTCAACACAAAGAACAAAATAGCCTATTTTAGTATCCCTTGTATTCAAAGGCAGTCATCAATGACTTCCACAGTTCTCTTAACACTTACAGCACTTTGTTTATCTTACATTTTGGGACACTTTTATTAAAATGTGCAAAAGAAAACTGAAAATAAGTATATATTATATTTCTTAAACAACACTATGTTTTTTTTTTTTCCCTCGATTGACAACTTCAGTTTGCATTACTTCAACTTTAGAGGAGACATTGAAGTGTATCACATGGCTTCTTAATGACAGTTATTTTCATCCACTGGACTGGTAATGTGTATCAAATGGCACAGGCCAATGCCCAAAGACTAATTTTACCTTTCACTCCTGTTACTTTGACCTTGTTCTTGTATCACATTCCTTACCTTGGAAGGCTTTCTTTTATTTTGCTATTTGAGAGAGAAGAGTACTTAAGATTAAGAACTCTCTTAAAGGTAACTACTAGAATTGTTTCAAGTAGAAAGTAAGACTTACCTCTTCATTTTAGGTGTCTTTAGATGACATTTATTTATTTATTTATTTATTTATTGTATTTAGATTATATCAGATTAAATATAATCTGATACAATTCAGACAGGCAATAGATTTGAGCTCCCTTAAGCTGAATAAAAAAGTTTCATAATTATGTGACAAGCAAAAGTTAGTTAAAGGTCCAGCACTCTACTTTACACAGTACAACAGCTGTGTGCCTCTACTGAGGCAGCCTACTTCAGCCTTGAACTAAATACCAGCAAACTGCATTGAGGGTTTGGCAGCATCACCTCAAAGATAAATTCTCTTGTGTTTATAACCTAATTCCCTGACACACCTGTAAGATTTGGTTAGTTACCTGTTTGTTTGCCTTCAGCACAGTTCTCAGAGTTGCTATCTGTTCTCTCTTGGTGCTCAGCAGGGATTTCAGCTTCAGGATTTCTTCCATGAGAGCTTCCTTGTCTTTGTCCACCACTGGCCCAAGTTCTTGAGTGGCAACACGCTGCCTGGACAGCTCGGTTGTTCTGTCCACAGCAGCTTGCAGGTGTTTGATCTGATCCCGGATTATGGCGATCAAGTTGTAAATGTTCATTGGTTCCTTCCGAGGATCTGACACAGGAGATGGCAGAGATGACACTGGAGATGGGCTGCTGTCACCACTTCCATTCTCTGCCTTTCCTAGCTCTATAGTTAAGAGCCCTTTAGAAAGAAGAATGGGAGACTTCCTTCCAGTAGTCCCTGGACTACTGTGTCCACCTTTACCTTCCTTGTAGTAATCCAGCATCACTCTGTTTGGAGTTTCATTGTTGCACATACAGACATGGTGGTACAAATTGGCCAGTTCTTCACTGAAGGTGACTAACTCATCTTGGGCAACACTGAGGCTGCCCTGTGTTTCTCCAGCAACATCACTGACTTTCTTCAGCTCCTTCTCCAGTCTGGCCACCTGTTCTCTATCCTGTCTACTGGATTTTTCTAGTGAGGTGATCTTTTCAGTTAGAGCTTGGCTCTCAGTCTCATATCTGCTCTTCTCCTCCTCATACTTAGACTCACATTCTTTATATTTGGCCTTAAGATTTTTGAGCTCTTCTTTTAGGTCAGTAATCTCTGCCACAGCCACTTTGTACTTGCACTCCAGGATCTCTGGCCCATTGATGTCAACTTCGTAATAGTCTCCATCTTCGTGGCTGTCTCGGTCCTTCTCGTTGTCGAGGGCAGACTGACGTTCCTTGCTGACCTGCAGCTTCCTCATTGCGTTTAGGTTTTCTGTGAGTCTGCCCACTTTCTCATGCTGCTCTGAGAGGGCCCCTCGTGTATTTTCCAGCTGCTTTTGAGATTCCTGTAGCGTTGTTAACAAGTTCACCTTTTCTCTTTCCATCTGAAATGTGTGAACACAGACATCTACATGAAGGGAACTGTAATACCAAATGGTTTTATTGTGAGAGACAGAAACTTAGTCAAGGTCCACATGGTCACAGAAATCCAATTGCTTGCACATTGTGGAAAGGCTATTTAACACTCTAAAACTATCTCAAGCACAGTGCTGCCTTGCCAATTCTTTCTCGTTTGCACTTCAAAATGCACATTTTTAGACATTTCTTCTATAGCTGATGGTCTCATTGTGAAAACATCCTTTCAGCTGAAAGCTAAGGTTTACTGTCAACTTGCACATTATAAAGTAAATACTAGAAAACACACAGCTAGTCTATGGTGGAAGCTTGGAGCTTCATGGAAAACTAAGAAATACCAAAAATTTTGCAGTTTCTCCTCTAAAAGTTCTCATTTTGAAAACAAACCAAAACAAAACCAAACCCAGCAATTTTTCCCACAGAATAAAAACGTTTGACAAAATAACTAAAACATTTATAGGCAACACAGATAAGCACCTTGTTTCAAACTCTCCAGCCTCCCAATAGCAAAAACATAACACAAAAATGCTTGGTATTGATTAAAACTTCATATTCTTTGAACTAATTACTCATTAATTTCATATTTATGAAAATCGATATGGTGTAAAAAACTCATTTTGGTGAAGATCTCGCTTTCTCACAAGTGACATAATGAAATAGACGCTCCATGTACTGCACAGAAGAAGCACTACAACTTTTCTCCAAACATAGGACATAACTGGTAGCTTCTCTGCATTAAAAAAAGAGAGTTCTATAGTTTCCTGCAAACAATTAACATCCTTAAATTCTAAATCAATTAAAGCCTTTGCAAATATAGTTCATACTTTATGGTGGCCACAGGAGATACTGAAAAGACTGAAATTACAACCCAAATAAACTCCAGCAGCTATTTGGAACTACACAGTTGTTTAGGAAATTCATTTACCTGTACAAGCTGTTGTTTCAGCTTCTGGATTTCAGAAATGTTTAGTTCACTTAAAAGATCTGAGACCAGACTTGGGGCTGGAGGGAAGCTTTCATTTTTCTTGGGTGTCGATGTACTGTTTTTGCCATTGCTGAGTTTGCTAAGGCAGTTTTGTTCAAATCCGTTCATGATTTCATCATTATTGGGCTCTGTGGCTTCGTCGCTGAACTTCAGTCCGTCTAAAGAGATGTTCAGGTGGCTGTTGTACATGGAGTCATTGATGTTCATGTAGTGAGAGAGCTCCTTACGGAGGTTGTTCTTCTGCTCCCGCTCCGTCTTCAGCGTCTCTAGGGCCTCCTCAAGCTGTCGTTCAGAGATCTCCTTCAGCCGTATGGCATCTTCTAGCTGACTGTTGAGAAATTCCGTTTCCTCTTCAAGCCTTTTGATTTCATGTTTCAGGCCTTCAAACTCCACCTAAACACATACAAATGGAAATGAAAAGAAACCCTAATGAAAATATCTGCCTGCAAGGCAGCAATTAATTTTATTTTTGAATGTCTGATTTCACTAAATATGATGAGAACGGAACCATTTTTTCAGTTCTGAAGTCTCGTTTTGGCACAATGACTGTAAACACTGCTTACATAAATTACCTTCAGACAGACCATGGAATAAAATTTCTAAGCCAATCATTGAATGACCTGATCTATTCCAGCTTAATTAAGACAGATGGGACATCCAGTGTGTGATCCAGAGGCATTCCACAATAGGCTTTCCTAGCACATTATGCAAACACTTTCTCTGTTTGATTAACAAATTCCCTGGTCAACCTTCCTGCAAATTCAAGCTCAACATTTCCAAGACAGCATTGTGAAGCTGTGCTTGACACTGTTGTACTGTTGTTAGAGCATGCCCCTGGGCTTAAAGCTGTGGGGATGCACCAGCAATCAAACTCCACTTTTATTCGTTGAAAATAATATGTTTTATCATTTGTCATCATCACTTCAGCACATCTGGAGAGTGCTTTTTTTTTTTTGAAACCTGTTGCACTGAAAATACGAACGCCAACTATTTATGTAAAATTTTGAATCTCTTAGAAAAAAAAAAAAAGCCTAAAGTATACCTTTTAGTTACCCTGAAAGAAATAAAAACATATGACATGAAACCTGTTTGTTTTTGCCAACTGCTAAAGTAATATTAGGTGCTAACATACAGCAATCCAGTGGTGCTGAAGCACACCTGATTTAAAAAACAGGAACCAATCATGTTCATTCAGTTTTGCAAGTTTAGCCTGGGAAAGCATGATGGCTTCTTTTAGTTATGCCAGTAGAATAGCTAAAGCTTATTAAAATTAATTGAGTAGGATTAGGACAAGGTAGAAAATTAAATAATCCATTGCTTGGAAAGAATTAGCTCTTGGTTCTATGTATGTCCATTGAGCTCAAATATTTAAGTTGCAGTCTATTTTAAAACGTTCCAGAACACAAACGCAGCAGTCAGTAATTACTAGCAACCAACAAGATGGCACCTGAGGTTAAACTTGGCTCAGTCCACAATGACAGCATTCTTGAATATTGTTATTTTAGATTGTGCGCATGGAGCTGGGAACTTTTAATTGCTCTTCTGCATACAATGAACAAGACAAAAAATAAAAAGTAAGAACCCAAAAGTAACCAACCAGATAAATTGGATTTTACCAGATCGCTATCTCCTTCAGTCTTCACCTAGAGCGTAATATCCCCTTCATCCCTACCACATGATTTCAGGGCACCCAAAAGAGCATAATTAGACCAAATATATTCAGCTGAAAACATAGAAAAGAAGTGGCTGGATGTTCAAGTGAGAAAGAACTATGCCATAACATGGGAATTAACTAGTGCTATCAAAGCAATGCTCAGTCTTTGGAAAAACTTGCCTGATTTTGCTTCAGGACAGACACTTGTTTCTGGAGGCAGATGTTTTCCTCTTCAAGCTCTGTGTAGTCTTGCAGCAAACGTGCTTCTCGGAATTTATATTCCTTAATATCATCTCGCAGACGGGCCCTTTGTATCTCCACATTCTGATTGACCTGGAAAAACAAAAATGCCCCAAAATGATGGTGATTTGGTCAGCTATGATTAAATTCAAAATATTCTCTTCCCTTATGCGCACTAATCACTAGATTCTAGTCAAACAGAAACTCTTCCTGCCCCACCCCCCAAAATGAAATTAGAGAAAACCAAATTTACACAATAATTATATTTTGTTTTCTTGCTTTTCTTAGAAATTCTCACCCTTGACTCAAAGCTGATGAACAAGTGAGGAAACTAGGGTTCACAACTATGTTGTCTCACTGGCTGTAAGCAACAGACAAAAGTTTTCCAGCTCAGAAGTCAATGCTTGAATCTGTTAACACTTAAAGAAGGGTCTTCTCACAAGAGGAAGACAGAGTCATCTGACTCCAGACATTCATATTTGGAAATGTATTGTTGCTGCTTTTCAACAGACCTTCTAATTATGTCCTGTGGAATAATTTGGAGATACGTTCTAATGAATCCTTTTGGAGAGAGATGCTAAGTTGGAGCTTAAGCAAAATCCAAGATCCCAGGTAAAAAGAGATAACAACTGTGGTTGACTTATAAAATGCTCCCTCCCATCAGCCTCCTCTGAGATTTATGCAAGGCCTTAAAGAAATAATTAATTATTTTTTTCCCCTCCAGTAAGTAAAAATCAATATATTGGTGTAGTATGCGAATGTGCACGGGCACTTCAACTGAGCTAGTGCATATCCAGCTATGTGAATAGTTAACACAACAGGGCAAAAGGGGAAGAAACAACAACAGTAACAGTACTGAAAAAGTACACAAAATGAGCAGGAACGCCCCCACCCTTCTGTAGTGGGCATAATACCACAAAGTATCAACCCATGGGCTGGTTTGGTTCTATCCTGGCTGTGGCTGCCTCGCAGCGCCTGCTAAACCCTATCCTAGCTGAAACAGGACTGTTCTTCCAAACAGTTCTAAGTTGGTGCAAAACAAACCCCAGCTCATGACAGAGGTGGCCAAACTACATGGCTTGTAGACAAGTAGAATAAGCCATCCAAAAAGAGGGACCAAAGAATTAGTGATGGACCTTGACAAGGTGGTATTTATATGATAAGAAAGTCTTCCTCTTGAGGAGGAGATGGTAGATGTTGTGACTGATGCTTCAGGGAGCCTGTCTGAGTCAGAATCTTCACTCTGTCTCATGGTCAAGTGAAGCACTATATTTCCCTGTGACCAGTTAACATGCTTCCACTTCAACTTGGTAAAGCTAATACAGATTGGCCATATAGATGACTATACAGTCAAACCAATACAGCTACCTAGGTTATGGTGTCTCTTTTCTGCTTTCATTTATCCAGAAGGCTAGCCAAGAAAGCTTCATCCTCTGGTATATGCACTCAGATTCCCTTAGTGTTCACCACTTCTGGTTAGAAACAAGAATGTCAGCAACGAATAAAATATGGTCTCTGTCCTCCTGCAAGTGTGGACCAGAAACACAGAGGAAGAATACAACACAGGTATCAACAGGCACTTATAGAAAGCTGAGAATTAAAGGAAATGTTTGTGGCAGGAGCACATGCCAAGACCTGAATCTGACACATTCTTAACTAAAACACAGAATCACCTGCAACTATTAAGAACAGTAAATTTAAATTACAGCTCCCTCACATCAGGTAAAGATTAGACTACATAAACTTGTCTGCTTATTTACAGCAATGAAGAGAAGAACACTACTTCCCAGCACACTGAGAAGCTAAAATAAACGTTAATTGCTGAAACCAGGCACTGTAGTACAACATTGCAAATGAAAAATCCCTACATTCCATACTCTATGCCAGAGCAAGTGTTGGCTCTATCTCTCCACAGCCCCAGAGCCATAGGGAAGAAATGTGCCACAGGTAGCTGAAGGCTACAAGCTGACATGAATTCACATCTTAACTTCTCCACAACAACTGCAATGAAGACCTCTTGCCTTTGGCAGAAAGAGTCTCCAGCCAGATAATCCAAACTGTTTAGTAGTTAGGATTGCAAAAGGCTCTTCCATCAAACTCAGTTTCATACAAATTAGGAGATCATATCTGTAATCACTCCCATTCCCAAGTAAGTGAAAAGCAATGGAAGACCTCCCACAAAGCTATTGGTGAGCTTCTCTCCTGTCATTCAGGCTGCCTTGCTTCTCTTCCTCTCTGGATGATCTAATCTTTACAGAGGTCAATGCCTGGAGAAATCATCTGAGCCAGTCTTTTCTGAACAAAGAATGGTTTCTGTCCAGTCTTGCTTGCTTAATTCAGAGCAACAATAAGATCTCATTATTTAATGTGAAAGTATTGTTGTGCTCTGTCTAGCACAAGAAAAAATCTATTTCAGTGCATACAGGAAGGCTAGATTTGAAAATAGCTCCCCTGTTTCCTGACCAGGGAAGGAAGATAGAACCTAAATTTATTGGCTGTTTAGCAAGCTGTATATTCAGCTTTTCTTATATTAGCATTTCTTATCAACTAAATGTGCATGCTTGCAAGATGCAAGGATAAATTTGGTGCCATGCTACCACTCATAATTGATCAAATAGCAGAATTTTTTCTGCAGGGAAGAGAAGCTACTGTCCTCCTTCCTTGATCAGATTTCTCTATGACCCACATGGAAAGCAGTATTCATATATTTTAAGACAGACACACATATGTTCCACATGTCCTCACAGGTGGTGTTTTACAATTCCTTAAGTCTATAGAAGAGGTAAGCTGATCTACTGATGAGTTTGAACCTTTATGACTCTTGTTGATTTGGTGTCTTAGTGGTGTCTTACCCCTTTCTCCTCTGCCCTGAGTAACCTCTGAGCACAAGGGAGAAGGGGGAGTTAGAACATGCAGGCATGCCTGGTTAGGCTCGAAACTGCATGAAGTCACACCTCCACCAGAAGCCAATCATGTAGCTGTTTAAAATATCCTTACCACTGTGTGGAGATTTGATGGCCATAAAATCACACTGAGTGTTCATCTACCCAACAAAACCCCTCCACTTCTCCAGAGAATGTACCCATTATGCAGAAGCCTCCCGTCCATCCTGCCCTGGACAAGACTGTAATCTCAAAGTGATTTCACCTGATGTAAAGGCCACAGACCACCCTGCTCCTGCTGCTAGCGAGCTGGTCTTCAGCGTGTTCACTCTCTCAGCTTTGCCTCAGCAGAGTTCTTCAAAGAGCATCTCCAAGTAGCACCATTGCTAGAAATTGCTGTTTCTATTTCCTGGGATGATCCCAGGATCAGTTTGAATCTGCCCTTGCCTGCATGTCAGAAAAACAATTATGGTCCTTCATCTCTGCCAAAATCCTGTTCCTTAAGCACCTACATTTCTAGTACACCCCAGCATATAACATCATGTGTAATTTGACTCCAAGGATTAAAATAATTGAGAAAAAGGTCTCACGTAGCAGATTCCCTCCTTTGTTTTGGACACTGCACAGCCCAACAAGAGTCCAGCCTCCAGGTCATGGGTCCTGACCTTGTAAGCAAACCTGTGTCACTAGTGCGGTTTCTGTTACCCTCAACTCCACCAGCTCATGAGGTCACGGGTCAGCTCAAGTCCCTTGCTGCAGTAAACCTGCTCACACCTAATTTTACATGTCATTATCATCATCAAAATTAAAAACTTAATTTGCCCAAATTTATTGCTAATTCTAGGATTAGATTTAATGCTTCATGTAATAAAAATTTCTAGATATGAACATTCCCTCTTGTGTTCTTCATGAGAGGGACTCACAAAAAAGGATGTAGATTCTGTGGAAGAAACAGTGCAGTCAGAAAGGATGACAACTTGTTACTGTGGGGAGAAGAAGATCATAGAATCATTTAGGTTGGCAAAGACCCTTAAGATCACCAAGTCCAGCCGTTAACCTAACACTACCAAGTCCACAAATAATAATCAATAAAACATCACCTCTTAGACATTTTATTAAATATCAGCAAGAAAATTGGGAAGACTAATCCTCAGACACACAACTTAGGGCCTTCTTTGGCACTTTTTTGATGGAGGTGCTTCAGCCAGTGTTTTTCTGAACACTGCCTTCATACTCACAGCTGTCACTCTAGAAGAGCCAACCTCAAAGCTAATCCATCTACCACAGGTACCAATGGTGAAATTAAGAACCCAAAAATAGACATAAAGCTTTTCTATGCACAAAAAGAAAACTTCAGGTTAATCACTAGACATGAACAGAAGTTATATTATTTAGGTTACAAAGACCAGCAGTTGCAAGTTGTGCGTGAAATTCACAGCTGCCCACTTGATGTTACCTGCATTTCCTTTGCACATGTGAGAACTGTGGTCCTGTGGCAAAGTATCACATAACTGTGTAATTAAGGGTTGGGATATAAAATACTCCTAGAAGAGAGCAGAATTAACATTTCATAAAAAACCAAAACAAATATTCCCCTAGTTCTCAAGTTATGGGCGCATAAATATTTTTTTATTTTAGATATTAAACAAAACACTGATATTTGAGAGAAGAAAAAAGTTCCATTAGCCCTAACTGTATAATATATATCAGCAACAGGTTTGGACACCTGAACTTTCACTACTGCAATAAACATGACCTGTGTGACAAGGCTGTTTGCGGTCCCTGGCAATGGCCAAATGCTTTCAGGGTGGAGAAGCAGACCAGCAGCCACACATGGCCAGCAGCACTTCCTGACAGTGGCTTGCTTTCTCTCATCTTCCTCAGATGCAGAAGAGCTCCTTGTTCATAAAATCTTGTCCACTCCGTTTTTACAACAGAAGAGTACCAAATAGTGTAAAACTCCTTTATTTGTGCAAAGAAGCAGTGCCACAGTGGCCTGGTTCTGCTTCATCATTCACAGGCAAAACTGCCTTGGTCAAATGTTTGTTTTCTTTTTTTTGTTTGTTTGTTTGTTTGTTTGTTTGTTTTTGTTGTCGTTGTTTTATTTTTGTTGTTGTTGTTTTTTGTTTGTTTGTTTTGTTTGTTTGTTTTTTGTTGTTGTTAGTTTTGTTTTTTGATTTTAACATCATTCCACATTTTAACAATCCGTGA